CTGAAAACTAATCGTATTATCCTAATTTATGATAAGAACCTAGAACGAATTCATTCTCCGTGAGTGAAAAAATGTGGAATAAGTATTCAGAATTATTTGTAGGTTTTTTTAATTTTTTTCCTTTAAAACACTGGCCGGTCAACTAGCGGCTTGAACGACAAACAGTGCATTTGTATCGAGAAACGAACTCATAGTAATTGTAAACACAAATCAAGTTAGATTCATAAAAAAAAACACCATTAGTCGAAGACGAGATTCAAAATGAACAGTGGTTCTCTACATAGACCTTTATTTTATGTAATTTACATTCCACAACTGCGGTCTGATTGAAAATCATATTAAAAATTGGTTACATTTGATTTAGCGGGCAAATGTCGTCATTTGACACTCTTATCTTTCCAATAAATGTGAGTTATGGCCATCCATTGCTCTACGGGAGGCCGGCATATAAAAAAAGCAGTCTGATTTTTATGCGTTATTCATATAAACGTTTTGCAAATCAATCAAACGTTTGTATTTTATGTGTAATTATTGAACGTTTTTTGTTGAAAATGGATTTGGAATATTAAATTATGTCATCATTTATATTTCATATTTTTATTGCTTAGATGTGTGTACGAGCTCACCGCCCACCTGATGGTTACCGGAACCCATAGACATCTACAATGTAAATGCCGCCACCCACCTTGAGACATGAGTTGTAAGGTCTCATTTTTATCAGTACAACGGCTGCCCCGCCCTTCAAACCGAAACGCATTACTACTTCACGGCAGAAATAGGCAGGGTGGTGGTACCTACCCGTGCGGACTCACAAGACGCTCTACGGCCAGTAAAAAATACCATACCAATACCCTACTATTATAAAAATGAGTTATTTGATTAACACGATGTCGTTCATGAATTGAAACATCTATAGCCGCACGTAAAATGGATTGCTGACGTGGCGACGCGTCGCCGTAATCTATTATAGTATATTTTTATATTTACACTTTACTATAATAAGTAATAATGTGTACGGCGTGGAAGCTGTTTCTTAATATTAATATTTTATTTTTCATTACGCCACATGAATGTCCTGTCCTAAGCTATCCTTTTTCACATCTGTATAGTAACCGGCAAACTTCTTGAGCAAATGACCTTGACTGCACAGAACCGAATTTTAGATCACTTTGGTGGTGAGGGTGAGGCGCGACGGCAGGGGAAATCGTATCGAGCGCGTTATTGGTAGATCAGTCGAACCTTTCGTCCCGCACCGCACCCTCGTTCCGCTTGCTCCCAAAAGTACGCTTGCGTACAGTGAAAAGTCTATCGTTATTAATCGTTAAGTTATTTGTTATAATTGTTTGTTGACTTTGTTGCCATTGCTATTTGTTGAGTGTTTGTTGATTTTTTTATAAAAAAATACACTATGCCGCGACAAACTGGTGTAGTATTCAAAAGAAAGGGTAGAAAAATTGTGTACGACGTATATTGCTTCATTATAAAACAGGGGAAGAATGATATGGAAAAAGTAAAACAGACTTCGGAAGCAACAAAAACATCCGTGAGTACTGTTAGGTGCATTATTAACGAAGCTAAAGGCTCTGGCTTGCTCGCCGTGTTTCGGACTCCGGGTAAGAAAAGATCAGGGAAGAAGAAAGTTACCGGAATGGATAGTTTCGTTCAATCTGTAATAAAAAGATGTAATCATAATAACTACATAACAAGCAGCGAAACTCCGTACCGTAGAAAGGCTTCGAAAAATTTAAAGAAGATATAAATTTTAATGGCTCGGAATGAAGCTTACGACGAATTATGAAAGAGCTAGGCTTCAGATGGAAAAAAAGAACAGAAAATAATCGGAAGCTGGTAAATGAAAAAAGTAACATTCGATTACTACGAATCGAATATCTTCAAAAAATAATTAATTATAGACAAAAAAGAAGACCGAATCGACCGAGTTGTAAACTACGCCGATGAGCCCTATGTCGACTCATCACGATGATAGCGACTCGGGTGATGAAAACAGTGATGATGATGATGGTCAAGATTATGATAACGAAAAAAAAATTACAAATACCAGCTTCGCTTCAACTGAACCAAGACCTGGCAACAGCTCTAGTTTTGACTTAATAGAAGGAATATCTATTTTACCCCAAGATTAAATTATTACAATTATTAACCTATATTTTTTGTTGATGTTCTCATAAATATATAAATAAATACATATGTTGATTTTAATAATTTAATTGCATTATGACGCAGAGTAAATAATGTTTTTGCACGTGAGTGTACCATGCGCAAACTTACCCCCACTACATCGACAAATGCTCAAGAAGTTTGCCGGCTATTATACCTGTACATAATAATATCAATGTTTCACATCAGCCAGATTTCCCGCGATGGCTGATTTTTTAAAATAAATATTCAAAGTTCTCGTTGCTGTTTCATTATATAAATATTTATTTTATGCCCAAATGTTCTAGTGCCTATACTCTTCTCCACAAATCAACCGAGGGCTGAGTTGAAAGTTCTGTTTCACATTACTTTATTGTCAACTATTATGGATGAATACAGAAACTCAAATAATATATAAGTACTTACACACAGTATATATAGTAATACATACATGATAACTACAACATATAACGCTAAATAAATCCAATAAATATACTATATACATATAAAACATTTATATAATAGGTTTGGGAAAAGTCTTCGCATTATAGTATGCATGAACTTGTAATAAAATCTCTTTGGCTATACTATTTGTATCTGGCTGGTTTTGGTATCATTAAATAAAAGTTTAAAATTTGAAGAAGATAATTCCAAATTCAAATTAGGAAAATGTGTAATTTTTATTTATTTTTCGTACTGTCAAGATGAGTGAATCTAATGAAGAAATTCGATACATTTTAAATTTTTACTACAAAAATGGTAAAATAGTAACACAAGCCGCGAAAAAAATTTGCCATGTTAATGGACCTAGTGCAGTGTCTGTGAGAGTAGCACAAATTTGGTTCAAGCTTTTTTAATCCGGAAATTTTTATGTCAAAGATGAACGTCGCTCTGGTCACCCTATTACGAACAAAATGGATGCCATTTTTGAAAAAGTGGAGCAAGATAGACATGTCAGTAATTATGACGTAGCTGAGCAACTAGGAATTGACCACAAAACAGTTTTGGCCCATTTGAAAAAAACTGGGTACACAAAAAAGCTCGATATTTGGGTACCTCACGAGCTCACTGAAAGAAATCTAATGAGCCGTGTACTCATTTGTGATTTTTTATTACGACGTAGTGAAACCGAACAATTTTTGAAAAAGCTGATAGCTGGTGATGAAAAGTGGATCACGTACGACAAGAACGTGCGAAAAATGTCATGGTCAAAGGCCGGTCAGGCTTCACAGACTGTGGCGAAACCCGGGTTAACTCGCAACAAAGTGAAGCCCCAAAATTTCTATAGCAATGGGATCATGTCCCTACCTACAAGATGGCAAAAAGATATCGAACATACTTTAGTTAAATGTAAATAAGCTATAATAAAAAATGCTGTGAATTTTCTTAAAAAATGCGAAGAAACTTTTCCCCAACCCATTACATTGTAGATTACTTTAGATTCTTTGCCGTGTTTACTATAAGGTGGTTTTTTTTATTGCTTAGATGAGTGGACGAGCTCATAGCCCACCTGGTGTTAAGTAGTTACTGGAGCCCATAGACATCTACAACGTAAATGCGCCACGCACCTTGAGATTTTATTCGTAGGTTTAATACTTGTGTAGAAATTTAACAGCATAACTAGAGTTAGAACAAGGCCTACCAGTGAATTCTGTGCACCGTATGCACACCGGTCGCGGTAGGGAGCCATATAATATGGTTCTAGTCGCTCTCCAGCCTACCCCCGAGGGTAAGAAAATCTTTAACACACAGACCGTCTGTAGGCTCTCTGGNGGTACCACCGCCCTGCTTATTTCTGCCGTGAAGCAGTAATGCGTTTCGGTTTGAAGGGTGGGGTAGCCGTTGTAACTATACTGAGACTTTAGAACTTGTATCTCAAGGTGGGTGGCGCGTCCACGTTGTAGATGTCTATGGGCTCCAGTAACCACTTAACATCAGGTGGGCTGTGAGCTCGTCCACCCATCTAAGCAATAAAAAAAAAATAAAAAAAAAAACGCGCGTACATAAGTATACGCACCCTTTTTTTTGTTATTGCTATTCCGTTACCGTCACTCATGGACGTCAGAAATGCCAGAAACAGAGCTAAGCCACTGCATCGGTAAGCAGTCCACCGAATAGCAGAATACCCTCCACAAGCCTCGTTTGAAAAAGATAGCTTTAAATATTCTTATCTTTAATCCTCAATATTATCAGCCAAAAGGCTGACGAGAATCATCGGTGTCTATACTAATATTATAAGAGGAAAGATTTGTTTTTGTTTGTTTGTATCGAATAGGCTCCGAAACTACTGAACCGATTTAAAAAAATCTTTCACTGTTGGAAAACTACGCTATCCCCGGGTGACATAGGCTACATTTATTATATTTTCAAAAAAGTTAGGGATCCTTACTGAAACTTCAATAATGTAACCCAATATGTAAAAAATTTACCTAAAATTCTTTACATGGCGTGCGCTACTTCCCAAGCGAAGCCGGGGCGGGCCGCTAGTTTATAATAAAAGCACAACGATTTCAATGCTATACAGTAGAGACTTCAAAAACGATATTCAACTAAATGATCTTTCGGAAAGTACTTAAATGCCAGCTAAAGGTTTGACGGCGCCAATAACTTATGAAACTTTCGCCGGCAGGAGCCCTTGAAGTATAGAAAGTTCCGGTGAATGGACGAAATGAATTTTTATTTAATCTCAATATATTCAAAACTTTCTCGTTCGAACTTTTCAATATGACTGGCGAATTTAAAATTATTGAGCGTCGCTGAAAACAGTTCCTCTTAAGGAACTATTAAAAAGGTAAACTAGATATCGGATAAAAATTAAATGTTATCGTTGAATTAAATCATTGTTAAAATCCCGATGCACTGCCGTCACACCGAGGATCGAATGCGCCTTCCATCACACCGTTCGGGTGTCTCACTAATGCACCAGCGTGACCTACCTTCTCAGAAAACTCTGGCAAAATCTCTACATCGTGACCTCTTTCCTTTAAATAGTTCACGGTTTCTTCACTAAATCTGCTTTCGATTTTCAGGGTGTCTTCAGCATCCCCTGCAATGCGGCCATAAAGCCATCTCGGTGCCGATACTGCGGCTTGTAAGTTCAAACCCTGAACCACGTGTCTGTAAAAGATAGCTGATTGGGTTTGAGGCTGTCCATCACCTCCTCTAGTCCCAAATATCATTACTCTACCATCATTTAGCCTTGCTGTAGCCAAGTTTAGCGTATGAAAAGGTTTTTTTCCAGGCTGTAGAGTCAATAATTTATCTTTTTCTAAAGTGAAAGAAACTCCTCTATTTTGCCATAGTATACCAGTTTTGGGCAACACGACTGTACTTCCAAACTCGTGGTATACACTTTGAATGAAAGACACCGAAAAGCCTTTGCTATCCATAGCCCCCATCCAAATCGTGTCCCCTGGGCCCTTCCCCTGTCCTACAGAAGCGGCTCTATCCAAACTTATTTTACTGGCAACTTTGGACAAGTGCTGACTAGTCAGTAATGAATTGGGATCGATTTTCATATATTTTGGATCAGTTATGTAATCGTTTCTCATTTCAAAAGCTTGCTTTGTGGCTTCGACTGTGGCGTGCACAAGTTCGCCCTCATTTTTTCCATCTATATTAAGTTTTTCTAACACTCCAAGGATATTTAATGAAACCAAACCTTGGGTAGGTGGTGGAAGGTTGAAAACTTCTCCTTGTTTTAGTAAAAGTCGCAAGGGAGTTTTTCGAATTGCCGTAAAGTTTTGTAAGTCAGATTCCGTAATCGGCATACCGACAGTGGCCATGTCTTCTGCTATTGTTCTTGCTAGTTCCCCTTTATAGAAACTATTTAATCCATTCTCGGCTAGACGCCTTAAGGTAGTACTTAACTCCTTTTGATACAAAATATCACCCACCTTAGGATTGTTACCATCGAATAGATAAATTCTCCGAAACTCACTAGATACATTCAAATCTTTAAACTTTTCTAAATTACTGATGTAACTTTGTGTTACTGAGACTCCTTCTTCAGCATACCTTATAGCATCAGCTAATAATCGAGATACTGAAATTCTTTGGTATCCATTTTCGGTAACATAATTTAGGGCTTCCTGCCAACCTCCGACAGCACCTGCAACGGTTATAGCTGCCTTAGGCCCGAGATACGGAATCTTGTCGTAGCCTTTGAAGAAATCTTCAGTAGCTAAGCTTCCTGGTGTGCCGGAAGCCTCAATGGCTATGGGATCACCATGAGGCGGTACTATTAGCCAAAACGAGTCACCTCCAATGCTGTTCATATGAGGGTAGACAACTGATATAGTCGCCGCTGCTGCGACCATTGCCTCTATGGCTGTGCCTCCTTCTCTTAGGATATCAATAGCACTTTGAGTAGCAAGGTGGTGAGGCGCCACCACCATTCCTTGTGGCGCGTATTTACTTTGCATTGTTGCCTATGAAGAAATCAGCCCAATATCACAGTAATATGTTTCTAAGCTCGATATACTATATTACCTGAAAATAACAAAATAACATTAGGTATTTAATAAAATTATGTCAAGCAGAATGTTCATTATAGTTATTTTCTTATTATGACAAACCAATAATACTTTACATCTTTTTAGGTTTACATAAAAAAGTCGCCAAACAAACATAGCGGTCTGAAAGATTTTCACCGAAAAACAGTCTAGACTAGAAACAACATGAAACTAGGGATATATCTAGGATGTGATAAGTGTTGTTGATATTTTACTGTCTTCCAAAAAAATATTAGGATATTTAACATAAAATACCGTTGATATCATTTTTCCAAAACACCTAAACAAAACTAATATTCATAATTATTTTAGAAATAAACATCTACGACTCGCCAATACGAGAAGTATGTAAGGTTTGCAAAAAAATCACATTCTATGATATCGTTATTAAATATAAAAACATGCAGTATTAATCAAAGATACGCAAAAGAGACAATTTTCATTTTTTTTATCGAAGCAATTTCTACGCTAATGGTATGAAAAATACAAACGTATAATATAAAACAATGATATGAAAAATGGCGGCATCAAACTGTAAAACTAATTTTAGTACTTCAAAATCAATATTCGCATGTAGAATATAAAGCCTAATATACATAAACAACGATAGCTTCAAAGCCGTACAGTACAGTTACGGCAAAAATGCTCTCGCGTGTACTAAATGTGAAATACGGTGGAGATCGAGTCCGTTGCTTTAAGACTTTAGAGAAAGACTTCTTATGAAATGTCTTGTTTTTCATCAAAAGGTGTGCTTTCGTACTAAATTTTGTAGACGGTAATATAATACTTGTTTTTTTATTGCTTAGATGGGTCGACGGGCCCACCTGATGTTAAGGGCTTACCGGAGCCCATAGACATCTATAACGTAAATGCCGCCACCTACCTTAAGATATGAGTTCTAAGCTCTCAGTTTTTTAGAGTATAACCGCTGCCCCACCCTTCAAACCGAAACGCATTACTGCTTCACGGCAGAAATAGGCAGGGTGGTGGTGCCTACCCCTGCGGACTCAAGACGTCCTACCACCAGTACTGTTCGGGAGAGACTAGTTCGTTCAGAACTGAATGGAGGGTGGCAAATATTATGCCTTATAACAGTCGATAAACCCCGCGGTTCCAAGCGGTAAGGATAAAATCTGCTACAATGACAGGTTGTACAAAAAAAGGACACCCATTACGATACCTAATTGGCTATTATAAAATTCGAATCACTAATATATTATACTAACGAAAACATCCTAAGAGTCACAATTGCTTGCTCGAAAATTCTCCTTCTTCAAACGAGGCTTGTGGAGAGTAGGTATTAAGCGGTAGGCAGCGGCCTGGCTCTGCCCCTGGCATTGCTGAAGTTCATGGGCGATGGTAACCACTCACGATCAGGTGGTCCGTATACTCATCTGTCAACAAGGCAATAAAAAAATGACACACATATTTTCTCTAACCGAGCGCAATTAGTGATTAAAGTAAGCCAACAATTATGTATGATACAAAAAATTCGACTGTCGACGGCGAACTCTGTGGATTAGAGTAAATGTGGTGACGGTGACCAGCTACCGTCCCTTCGAATTGCCGATTTACGACATATGTTTAAGAAAAATCCCTAGCTGAGCGTTGTGGTCATGAACACGAGGAGTTCTGACTTTGATAATGGCATCTACCTATCTACATAATATTTATATATGGGTCTTTCAACTTAATTTTCGTGCTTTTAATTTGAGGTTTGTTTATCGAATAAACGAGAGAATTTAACAATATTTAAATTTTCGTAATATAAATTTTAGCTTTGCTTGTCAAATAAACGAGAAAAATTAATATTTTTACATTTTTTTAACGATATAATATTCCACGAAAAAAATCATTCAGTCGTTATTAACATTGCCTGAAACACTTCGCATTCCAGTAGCATTTCGATAAAATACATTGTAATAAAGATTAGGTCGGTAATAGATTGTTCGTAACGGCATAGTATGTTTGCCGCGTATTAATATGCCTTCGGGGCGTAATATTTCTCATTGTGGTCCCGCCTGGGGGAGGTTGCCCCAATGAAATTCGACCTTCCTACTGTTACAGTTTGTTATTTAACTATTTGTCGTTATAATTAATATGAATGTTTAAATCATGATAAGCTGTATGATTTTTTATGAAGATTAATCATTGAGTTGTGTATTAATCGACTTCAAATAGAACGAAGAAGGTTTTTCTGAATTTAAGAGGTATGTTTTTATGACCATGTGAATTAAGCTTTGAATAAATATAATTCTTGGTAATGAGGTTATAAGGCCTTATGCCATTGTAGGTAAACAGCTGGTGACAGACATTTTACTATGACAATGTACCTGTACCTCATGACAGTCCGGTGACAACCTACCGATTTTATTAATTTAAACTGACATTAAAATAGTTTCAATAGGAAATTTTAGTACAACAGTATGTGATTTTTTAATCCAACCGTATCGGCCAATGAAATAGACGTGCCAAATACTGTATAAACTCAGTATAGTTATAAATTCTACAATATGGCATAGTTAACAAATAGTGTGTACTTTGGGTTGAGTAGGTTTTTTTTTTTTTTTTTTTTTTTTTTTTTCGGGCCGGGGGCCGAACCTCCTACGAGGTCCCCGCGCCTAGGGGGCGCGCGGGGTATGTGAGACTCAACGATCTGGACTCAACGATCTGCAGGTGTTGAGAGCAGATCGCGGGCCCAAGGATTTTAGGGCCCACCCACTAAACGACTCCCCTGCACTCTTACACCCGACGTCCGATCTCCGTCCGGGGTCAGAACCCGTTCAGAGTAGGGGGGTTCCCGCGGTCAACACTACAACCAGACACGCGGCGCCACCCCGAGGACGCCCGACTGACGGGTCGTCTAGGCGATAGTCGACGACCAACGACGTCGGTCTCCGCGGTACGGCGGCCCTACCAGGCCGCCCGGGCGGTGCCGCTGGTGTTCCGGGATACCCCGCTGGGCCAGAACCAGCCTGCCGGGTCGGAACGCGATACACTGCCGACCGGGTTGCTCTTCAACAGTATGTTCGGCGACGACAGCGACGACGAAAAATGCGGACCGCATCGCAGTCCGCAGCCGCCGACGCGCCGTCCCGTCCTCCTGGTGCCAGCGCGCTAGAGTGACGGTAGCGTGCGGCGCAGCCTCAACCCCCTTAGGTCGCCCCGTGACCATCACCGGGAGGAGACTGCCTCCTCATAGGTACCACAACCCTGCATATTTATGCCGTGAATCTGTGTTCTTGTTGTGAAATATATTCTTGTTCCAAATATGGGTTGAACATAATACAACACCATTTTGTACTTAGACCTGTTTCTTTAAGGTAAGAGGCGCATTACAATTTTTCATATCTTCTTCTTTTTCTCCACCTTATCTCACTAGGTGGGGTTTGCACAGATAATTTTTCTCTTCCATTATCTTCTATCAGCTGTCATCTCAACGGTAACTCCTCTCTCTCTCATATCGTAATTAACACGCTCCATCCATATCTTCTTCGGTCGATCCCTTCTCCCTCTACCTTGCTCTATCATTTCCATACATACATAATTTCATACATTTTTTCATATCTCTAGGCTTTAATAAACTCTTAACACCGGGTGGGCCGTGAGCTCGATCGCACTGTGTGACATAAAAAAGTCTTAACAAGATCGTCCACGTCAAAACAAATAAAATCTTAGTATTTCTTTCGAACAATACAACTTTACAAAGATGAAGACAATGAAACTTTACAACGCAACCTTTGTGCAAAGAAAGTTTAGTCCCGGAGCTGTGTGACAAACAAAATTGGATTTATATAATCCAGTGGTTCCCAAGGGGGCCAAGCACGTTTGATAATGGCGGGCGTGAGTGGGCGATGGTCGTCTTTAAGCCAGTGGCTTAAAAATCTGCAGTAAAAAAAACATCGGATAAAACTTAGTCCCAAATCAGAGTGACTTGAGTTGTTTCTTTTTGAAATAAGGAAAAATACTGTCCTTTTCGCCACAAAATTGAATACTACGTGCAGTCCTTAATTTTAAATACATTACGTTGTTATTTTTATTATGCCATGAACGGCATTAAAATGTAATTGAATAATGGCAAAAATTTAACTGTAATAATAAGTGCGAAAATTTTAAATGTGTTTTCTTTATTAAATGTTTACAGTCGTTGTCTCAAGGATAAGGGGCTTGGCGTACTCGTACCAAGCGATTCGATTATACTGGTGTTCAAACCCCACAAAAAAATTAAATTATCTAATGAAATACACAAAAAAATACAGATCCTGACATAATTATACTTTATTATTAAAAAAAAATTCAAACAATTATGCGCACCGTTTTCAACGTAACTTTTTTGTTTCTCTTATTTGACATATGATATAGTGATTTAATTGTAATCTAAATAAAAATACATCGATAAAATACATATATGTATTTCGAAATTTGAGAAGACTCTTGGCTTCTGTCCAACACATGATCGAGAATTTATTAACTTGAAGCCCCCTATTGTCCCGCCATCGCCCCATAAAACTTCAAAGTTTGAGAATCACTATTATGGAACTTTCGTCCGCCTTTACATTTCGTAACTGGACTTGACTTTTGAAGTCATCTACCGAACGAAACTAGTTCTTTTAGCTTTGTTCTGTTCACAGTAATGCTCTGAAGATACTTAGGACTTTATTACAAGTGATTGCTGTTGCTTTTATGTTTTCTAATAATTGTTTAGACTTGGAAGTGTCTTTAGAGAGAAACATTTTAGTTTTTTTTTTCTGTGAAATTCAACATACGTTCTTTTTTCTCTGAGAAGTTGCTGCCTAGAACAGAAGATGTTTGTAATTTTTTTTTATATATCTATTGACGTTTTTAAGAAATGCTTCAAAACGACAACATTTGGATCAGCCTGCTGAGTTTCTCATCGGATCAGGTCGCGA